TAATTTACAGTTAAGCTCTTTCTGATGCTTTTGGAGCACTTCTGAAACTTTCACATGAAGGATTTTGATGTGGATACAAGCTGGGCTGTGGCGAGAACACAATCCTAAACAGAGGTTAACACTAATCCTCAGCCTTCCAGAGCACCTACTGATGTGGTTATCACACCATGCGGAAGAAAAAGCAATTCTGGCAAATTTTATTCAAACAATATACTGGAACAATTTCAAATCCACAGTATGCTCCATGTCTTTTTTTTCCTTCCCACACCTATTGTGTCTCTGGCGTGATTGTCATCATTGAATGTTTACAAAGCCTTTCAGCCAATTAAAATTCAAACTAAATCAAAACATTTGGAAAACTCCATCGACAATGGTTAGATTTTTTGTCTCCTCCTGAAGGTGGCCTAACTTATATTTTTTTTTGCTAAATCAACCTCTTACGTGTTGACTTCGCATTTCCATTCAAATTTCGATTTTGAGATTGTATTTTTATATTTCCATTAAGGGGTGCGTGCAAAAATTGAAAAGCATACTGAGACGGAGAATAATATAACTAGATTGTTTTTTTTTAAGGTGGTCTTATCATTTGTAACACAGAAGCCAAAGGGAATATCATTGTCGTGTGCAAGAACATCATTGTATTTTTGTTTTCTAAAAAAAAAACACTATGTGTGACATACACAGACCAATAACAAAGATGAAGAATGTAAAAATATGTAAAAATGGTGACAGAATTTAAGTCAGTTTTTAATTGTATTTATGACGTGCGTTCCATCCCAGAGGATCCAAACGGATCTCACAGAGCTCCTACAATATAGCATGGAACTCAGTTCATCCAATTTTAGATAATACAGATCATGCAAGCCCAGATGCACACTCTTCTGAAAAGTGCCAATAGATCATTAATAACCTACTAGTCGGGACTCTTGTTTAACATCTCATCTGAAGATATGAAGCCAGTACAAAAAAGAAGCATTTATAAATTAAGATGATGTATGTTTTTTAATGTTGACTGGTATACAGTACAATTGTAGCTGCATGTATATTTTTCTATGAGTAGCTTGGATATTGGATCGCATTATATTTATAATGCATTAGTTGTATTTAAGATCTTCATTGTCTTTTTGACAAGTCTCAATACATAACGAATAGAATGATTTCCTACTGAATGTGTTCCAGGTTATGGGTAGGTTATCACTAACTGGACATCGTTTGTGGCAGAAGTGTGTAGTAATGGTTAGGGTGGTGGATTCATAAAAGTTTTGAAAGAAATGTTAGTTCAAATCCCCCAATCATGTATTTCTGTTGTACTCTTCAGTAAGGTATTTCACTACGTGCTTCACTACGTAAAATGCCTGGTTGTATTAATAATGGATACAACTATAAATCCATTTGGATGAAGCATATAAATTGTATAACTTTTTCTCACATTACAAAAGGACAGTACTGATCCTGCTTTGTTTTACAGATCAACTTCATATTTCAAGCAAATATATTATGGTACTAATTTAAGGAAATGTTACAACTAAACACTTCCTTTGCTGTTTGTCTTCCTGTTTGTAAATGGTGAGAATATCTTTGCTTCAGGGCTCAGAAAGGAAAGGGAACTCATAACGTCAAGCGACAGCGGTAATCCTTTAGATTTGGCTGCTAACCACATTAAACACATCTGCCTCTCCAACAACTTTCATGGATCCTTTTTGCATTAATTTAATTCATTTTTGGAGTCAGTCCCCTTTTTCTTTTAGCAGATGGGCCATATGCAGCTTGACATAATCTAAAGCCAGAGATTTCTGCAATTTACTATTTCTGTCCCCCAAGACAAAAGAATCCCAAGACAATAAGTAAAGTAAATAAAATTTATTATTTCTGGGCTCTGTTCTTTATGAGCTGAAAAATATCTAGAAATATTGATCCACAAATAGACTTTTAAAAGCTACACAGTGTGTAGATCTGAGTTTAATCTGGACTGATGTGAAAGCAGTCAATACAGTATGTGAAGATTGCCAACTTGTCTCATTAACTATGTTAGCCAGCAGGTGGCACTAACCTTTATTAAAACACAACTGCAAGTGGTTGTGTACAGTATATATTTAAAGGTGAAAAACAATGTGACAAAATATTAAGTGAAGTTTCTGGACTAAAGCAAAAGGGTCAAATTGCCCACGGACTTATTTGGACAATTCAGCACAATTCAGTTGTTTTTTTTTATAAGACAATCTTGTATATAATTTAGAAAATACTTCACAGCTTTGAGGGCAGCTTAATACATCACTGACTTTTTGGATGTGATTTACTCAAAAAAGGCTCTGCAGCCACATAATATTGTTTTTCTTGCTTGATACTTTTAAGTGTAGAATTCATTTCTATGTTAGCTTATTTTCTATTTAAAACAGATTTTTTTTATTTCAGCATTTGACACAGAACATTGTGATGGTTAAGGTTTAAATTTTCTTAACCCTTCATGTGGGTTTGAAATAACACAGTTGGCATCATTTACTGCTGACAGCACCAATATAACATGGTAATATTGCACTTTTAACAGTCTGAAACATTTGTATGGCCTTGCACATTCCAGATTGTCACTTTCTGTGCCATTTTTAACTTTTGGGGATTTTGACTTAGTAAGGATAGAATTAGTTTTGGTTTTTTATTTAAAAGTATATATTTTCTTACATTCTTTGGATACATTTTCTTGATCAATGATGCTGTCAACAGGATGAAGAAAAGTTTCAAGACATATAAAAATAGGTGACCTAGTCATCACAGTAATAAACTAAGCCTGCTTAAGAAAGTTAAGAACGAAATTGTGAGATTGAAATTATTACCTATTTAATAGAAATAGATTTAAGAAATAAAGGTGTTTGTTGATCCTGAAGTATTATTGATTTTCTTGCAACCAGACAGAATTGAATTAAGAATTCTATCCATTACTATGTTCTGTGTGAAATATTCTATATTGTGTTAATGAATGAAGAAGTGGAAATTGCGTCTTATAGACAGTATTCTTAATTACTCAGACATTTCTGAATTAGAACTTGTTCTTTCTTAAATAAAAAATTACAGAGTAGAAAAACTCTTTGGGTGGCCTCTAGATTAATCTTTTCCATGACTTAGCTAAATAGCTAAAGCTATTTTTCCAGTCTAATGTTCCATGTTAAACCAAGAACAAACAGTAGAGATGCTCTACTGTATCTTATGCTAACACAGTCTGCAGTTCCATTAAAGGTAAATTTAACATTTTTAAATGTTGCAAAGGACAAGTAAATATTTATTCCATGCTGAGAAGAGAAGGAAAGAAACACAACATTTCAGCTGTGGAGCCTTCTTCGGGGATGCAGCTACCTACTTGAACATTTTTAAATATTGACCTTTGAGCGCCTGCTTTCAGCATGCATTTTTCACAAGAAAATGCAAAACCGGAAACATGTAAAACTTAATAGATTTCACAGTTAAGAACAGATTTCACTGTTAAGAACAGAATTAAATCTGTTTTCTCAAATATATCTAGCATCAGATAATGTAGATGTGGAAAAATGTGTTCACAACAGGCTTGATTTAAAAAATAAATCATTAGAACAGATTTTATAATCGGGCAACAGCAATTGGGGGTTGTACAGTAGCGCAGTAGTTAGTATTGCTGACTTGCAACGTTGGGGCCTTGGTTTCCATTAATGCATCAATCTGCATGGAGTTTGTATGTTCCCCATGTTTGAATGGGTTTCCCCTGGGTTATCTGGTTTCCTCCCACAGTACAAAGACATACTGGTAGGTTAATTGGCTTCTGGGAAAACTGGCCCTGGTGTGAGTGTAGGTGTTTTTGTGTCTGTGCCTTGCAATGAACTGGCATCCCATTCAGTGTGTATCCTGCCTTGAGCCCACTGCTTGCCAGGATAGGCCCCAGCTCCCCCATGACCCTGAATTGAATAAAGCAGTTAGAAAATGGATGGATAGATGGAAAAGCTATTGGATGACATTCTGTAGGTGCTGTTCCTACCCTGTACAAAAAGTGAATTATTGCTTTTGGTGGCTCTACTGAAGCATGTATGCATTATTTTATTTGGTGAATTGAACCCTTCCTTGGTTCACTTAGAGAACACTTTCTTTCCAGTGTAGTGAAATGTGGATTTATACACAGATGTGGAGGTAGATGAAACACATAACATGTTGGTAACACATGGGACCTTAATCCTGTGATGCCGCTTGGAGCTTTCTACATAGACATTATGAGCATCCCCCCCTTCTACTTTCAGCATCTGAACATTATCAACTTGTCATTTCTTCTTCCACAATTTGCAGGCTAGTTTGCTGTGGTTATTCCACACATTTTGCATTTGGAAACAGTTTGGTATAATTACTGTGGGGTATAACACATGGCATCAGGTAAACTACTGATAATAAAAAAGCTTTAATTGTTTCTTTATTAATGAGTTTGCTTACACTTTCACACTTTGTACTTGCCAATCCGCAGAAGGTTATTTTGACCCTGAACTGCAACGGAAATCCCCAGTGCAGTTATTAACATATGAAACTAATTAAGCTATTCTGTATAAATACAGTCAGATTACATCTTTTACTTGTTACATGCTGATTAAGCTATATGTGATTTGGACCTTAGAATCATTTTATCCATTACCAATTCAGTAACGAATGTAACATCTATAGTTATTGAAAGTTTTTGATTTTGCATAAAGTGTAATATTCGCAATAACAGACATGTATGTAAAATGTAAAAAGGGAAGATCTAAAAATCTTGTTAAGCAAAAATTTTACATACAGAGCAGAGCAAATTGCTGCGTTTTTCTAAATCCATTTCAGGAATAGTTGGCGCAGAATGTAAAAAAAAAGATCCTTAAAGCTTCATCTTTAGAATGATGAAAAGCGAGGAAATTTGCTGAGCCCAGTGACCTCTCAAAATAGTTCATTTGCTGAAACATGTTTTGGAAAAGGTCTAATGCTTCATGTTAAATGCTGCCATTTTTCTTTGCTTTTAATAACAGCTAGTGAGCCAGAGTCAGTACAAGATCTTGAACCCACAACAGAGCCGGCCATCATACCAGAGCCAGAAGCAGAAGGAGAATCCAATTCAGAGACGCAGGAAGTGGTCCTTGAGGCAGAACAGGAAGTGGAAGCCCAATCGGAGGAGGCGGAGTCACAGAGCGTGGCAGGACCAGAGGCGGAGGTCGAGCGGGTTCCAGAGCACGAGCCTGAGGAGAACACCCTCCTCAGTGAGAAGGAGAGACAGAATGAAGAGGTGAATGAGAAGGACAACTGCTCGGCTTCCAGCATCTCCTCAGCCAGCAGCACATTAGAGAGAGAGGAGAGAGAAGAAAAGCTGACCAGCGACAATGAGACTGGTAAGACGAAGGACTCTTGGGAGGGTCTCAGCAAGGGCCCCTGTGATGCATTCAATGGAAAGTTCTTCAGTCTGTATGCTTTCATATTTGTACTGACAAATCATCTTGTCAGCTGAAATCAAAGTACTGCAGTGGAGCATATTAAATGGAATTGGTACTGTATATAGCAATATTGAATTGCTCTAAAGTTTAGTAGGCCTGATTATAATGATCAATGACCACAAAGACAAAAAGTAGTTTTTGGTGTCATTAAAAAATTAATGCAGTATTCCATTCCTGCAGTCTTATCTCGCAGGAAAACATTGTAATTATTCGTAATTTCTCTGCTTTGTTATACAGTATATATTACACAAACATTTGATTATGACTATTGTGCTTTTGGTGTGTGATATGATTTCAACCTTTTGTGTGAAACTGGCTAAAGGTGAAAATGAAATAAAAGATAATTGCTGGGCAATTTAGATTAGTGTAGCTAATTAAAATATCCTGAGAGAAACAGAAACACCAGTTCATTATGAAATGTCAGTCAGAGAAATAATAACAATAAGAAACATACTCTATTTACTGAGCATTGATCTGGTTTGCATTGTTCCACTTGACAAAAGCTTATTCATTTTAATAGGCTAATAAATTCTGTTTTAAAATCAAATGACCCATTTCCCATTTTTCTTAACCTCTCCCGTTCCAGGTCAATGGACACAGTGCATTAAGGATGTGGATGTGAATGAGCAGTGCAGTAAGATCCTCAACAGCAAGCTCTTCATGTTGGACATGTTGTATGCCCAGAACCAGAAGCCGCAGGATGAGGATACGGAGAAGGAGAAAGACAAAGAGGAAAAGGAGGATAACGAGGAATCTGTGGCCAGCCTGGCTAGTCGAATCTCCATCTTCCAAGCCAGCAAGCAGGCCAGTGAGGAGAGTGTCAAAAAGACAGACAAGGAACAGTTGGACAATCAAGGCAGTGTGAAGGCATTTACTGAGAAGTTTAACAACAGTGAGCTAGTCAAGGGCTTATCGGTGCCAGAGAGCGATCTTGGGGAGAAGCAGCCAGACAAAGCTGTGCCACCTGCCAAAAAGGAGTCTGACTACATTTGGGATCAACTGATGGCCAGCCCTCGTGAGCTGAAAATCAAAGACATGGATTTTACAGACTTGGAGGACGAGGATGACATTGACATTTTGGATATGAATAGCTTGATGAGCTCGGGGGAGCAAATCCTTCCTCCTCCCCCTCCTCCTCCTTCCTTTATGGCCTTGCCTCCCCCACCCCCACTTTTTGGATGCCCCCCTCCGCCCCCAGTGCCTGGCACTATGCTGCCACCTCCACCTCCCTTCAGTGCCCCCCAGCATATTGGATCTCCACAGCTGTCACGAGGAGAACCTCTGTTCCAGAAAAAGAAGAAGACTATCAGGCTCTTCTGGAATGAGGTCCGGCCTATGGAATGGCAGTACAAAAATCACAGACAATGCAAAGAGTCACTGTGGAATAAGTTGGATCCCATCAAGTTGGACACCGCTAAGCTTGAGCACCTCTTTGAAACCAAGTGTAAGGAACTGCCTGTCACTAAGGTAAGAGCAAAAGAACACCCTTTTCTATGTTTGTGAATTGAAATATTTATATCTACATCTGATCATGCTGTTTTAAGGCTTTGTGTTGTTGTAAAAAAATGGGTTTGTTCTTTTCTTCAGTTATGTTGTACGTTAGTTGTACGCTATACTACAAAAAGAGTCCAAACAAAGAGGAGCAAACAAAATTGTTTGGAGTCTAAAAGGAATTTGATACACTTATGGCAGGTTAAAGGAGCAGAATCTCTTCAGTCCTAAGCAAGTCCTAGCAACCAAATGAGATGGACGGCTTAAGGGGCCTCTTGTCGTTGAGAACATTTTTACACTCCTGTGTTCTGTAAAAAACCCTGATGCTACAAAACCGTAACAAAACATTTACGGTACCCACTTACTTACTGTCCATTCCCAGAGAGATTTGTTAGTTGTAAAGTTGCAGTACCTATGGTTATGAATTTTGTATCATTTTTCTGTGAAAGTGTCCATAGGCAATTGATTATGTTTATGTTAATAAGTTGTATACTCAAAAGATAAAAATAAATGTTTGACAATGCTAAATCAGATTAAAATGACAAAATTTGTACTAAAAACTAGAATTAGCAGAGCATGCAAGAAAAGCCAAACACTGTAGATGTTAATACTGATGTTTCAGTGATTTGTTTTGGTGAACAGTTTCACAAAATGCATGTGCAAGTTAAAAAGTACATTGTTATGGGGAGATGACTTGCTTGTCTGTAATTAGTATGGTTAGGTTATTAAGTTGGATTGTAAATTTTTAAGCCAAACCACAACATCATGTTTCATTTCTAATAGTCTGGACACAAATAATCTAACTTTTGCAGGTCTGTTTTTGAAGAGTTTCTGTGGTTTACTATTCGTAATTCACTGTTTCCTGCTGTGTATCCTATTTTTGTAAAACATATGCTGCTGTTTAGTCCTTGGAGTTAGAGACACATGTTTCTGTGACCTTTTAAAGCACATTGGGAATGTATTGTGTCATTTGGACTGCATTCAGCCTGTGTCACTGTTTCTTTTTAGACCCAAAGAAAAAGTACAGATTAGAAACAGATCAAATAAAATTTAGGATAGTGTTTCTTCAACAAAGAAATGATGGGGTGTGATGGACTCATTCTAGTTCTTTTAAGCTGTGTCAAAAGTATTCTAAATATCCTAGCTGACCAAGTGGGTTTCTTTACATCACTGAGTTCTGTATTAGAGTTCTGTGGTAGAGTTTGAAATAAATCCACATATGTATTTTTTTATAATCATGGGTGTAATTACATTTTCTTAAACAAAATCACTCCTCTGCGGTGTAGACCTATATTGTGTAGGCTGTTTTATGACTTTATTCTTAGTATTTGGAAACCATGTTCAATGTAATATGTTTCTTTTTAATTGGAGTCATCCAAGGAGCATGACAGTGACTACTTAAGTGTGAAATCTGATTAAAGGGATCAGTTTTTGCTTAAACTCTTTATTTCTGAAAGAAAAAGGTTTCACCGTTTTACCAGGATGGTTTGGTAAGATCCGAGACAAATGAAGATGAATAAATATATGATAAGAGGCAGATGTACAGTATTACGAGTGTAAGATGTACTTAAGATATACAAATCCCCATGATCTGACAGTGGTCTACCATTTGGAATGAAAGAAGAAATGTTATCTATAGACCATCAGCAAAACTCTTCCAGCTTCAAACAGGACAGGGATAATACCTATTGACTGGAAAATTGTTCATGATGGGCCCATCCATAAAATGGTAACAAAACTGAATTACATAATAATAGACCTACATTTTACTTATGTTGTGCGTAGTTATAGAAATTATAGTTAAAAGTGAAGGTTCATCTATATGTCAACAGGAATTTGGTGGATAGTTAAAATGGATTTAGAAAAGCTGTAATGATGTATGCAGAGCAATTTATATAGTACATGCAAATTATTTAAAGGCCTTTCATGAAGTTCCTTTGAATAGCAAGCAGTAGGTGTTCAGGGTAATGTGTGTCTTTGGTGTAAGAACTGAGTAATGGATAGGAAATAGTGTACCGATAAGGTTTGAATGCTCATGTGGGGGTATATAAATAGTGGAGTCCTACAGGGATCAGTATTAGGACCAACTAACTAAATTCTGGTATAATTAGCAAACATAGATGATATCATAATAGAAGGATTAGAAAACATTGTAAAAGCTGCAATAGCAATAATAATTTTTGGAATTTACTACGGCTAGCATAGTATGTTGGTTTCCTATCAAGTTGGAACTCAGTAGTGGATCAAGTTGGATCTCATGACAGTAGTGAGTGTCATGAGACCCACGATGTCTCATGATAGAATGTGCTCTGACAAGGGGATGTCAAAAGGCATAATGTTATTATGTTTATAACACCCATTTTCTGGTTAACAGCTGTCACAGAAGGACATTTGATGAAACAGTGGCAAAACGATTAAACAAAGTGAAACTAATCTGTGTATGCTCGGTACAGTTCAAAGATTTGGTCAGCATTAGGACAGCTGCAATCAATTTCTCCCAGCCCCTCATACTGATCTGTGTTTTGTATTTGGCCATAAACAGGCACTTCCTGCTGTCTAAAAAAAAAGTAAAGAAAAATGTATTAAAACTCTCCCTGAAAAATAGCCTTCAGATGGTTAAATGCCACAAAGGATGCACTTTTGAAGAAAAAAAACAGGTCCCAGAAAGCAAAGGCCCTTTAATTGCAAGCTTCAAAGATAACACTTTAAATTCAATAATGAAAGGTGTCAATCTATTAATGCTATTTATTACAACTATGGTGGTGTTAAAAAAGAAGTCACAGTAGAATTGAATGTGGCATTTAATTTGAAATTTCGGAAAGGACAGTTAAACCAGCCTGGGAAACAGTTCTGACTAAACCATTTGTTTAAGAGGTAATTAAAGATTTTAAGAAGAAGTCCAACTTGAAGACTACTGCAAGTCGCCTGGAACTTCAACAAGACACTTGGTGCCAACAATTAAAAAGGACTATGCTAAAGTTGCTTTCAGAGTTTTGTTTGCGGCCAATGCTTCATGTATTCAATCAGTTATGTCAAGCATGCAGTCAAATTGCCTGTCAAAAGGATGTAATGATAGAAGTTGTTTAGTTCATTAGTTGCTTGGGCTTGTTTCTTATTTCTCAGAAAGAGTGGAAATTCTTGGACTGCTCTTGGTGAGCAGAGAAAGAGTTTTTACATGTCTATCTCATTTCAGAGCACTCAGCCAATCTCCCAGGGCCAAGGAGTTTTTAAAAAACGTTGGTAGATCACACAGACCAAAAGCCTGGTAGATCACACAGACCAAGCATTTTTTTCATTCTGGGCTTGGTTCTGTTCCTGAAAGGTACAGCAACAAAAAATGGTTATAGTTCATTTGAACATGTGATTGAAAGGGATCCATAGGATATGGCTGTTGTGTTCCATTTTGGAAAATATCTACAAATACAGTATAAAGGATTGACAACAAGTCATCTTTTTCTCCATACAAACTTTAAAAAGGAGCCAGATTAGGAGGATATGTTAGCAATGCTGGCAAGAATCTGGTTCAGGTAGATTGAGAAAGCACATTAGATAAAGGTCATCAAATATTTCCTTTCTTCAAGCCTGGCAACATGTCTAGACACTGCTGAGTTAGGAACAAGAATGCACTTTATAATGACTATCAGGCAAAAGTTAAGAAAAGCAATTCACACAAAACATTTGCTTATCTACAGCAGTAGGTCAATCAAAACATTATAACCAGTATTCTTTTGCAATTTTTTGACTAGAAAGAGTCTAGACTAGAGTTTAGTGTTGCTAGATTTGGCATCCTAACAGCCTCTTTAATTAAAATTGTTAAACCATGCATTATTTAGTTATATTCTTTGTCTGGTAAATATTTTTCTAGCTTCAGGGGGTGGACAAAATAATGTCAACACCAAGCAAAATCTGAATATTTATTAACTAATTTGGGCTGCCCTTTGCCTAGAGAACAGTTTCATTCCTTCTTGGAATACTGTTATATACACTTTGACCTGTTTCTAGGGTGATATTGGACCACTCTTCAAGAATGAAAGCCTCCAATTCTTTGAGAAATGACGGAGGTGGAAATGGACTCCGCACTTTACATTCCAGAACGTCCCATAAAGTTCTCAATCATCTTTAGATCTAGTGACTGGGGAGACCATGGAACGTGTTTGACTTAAGCAGCGTGCATAGGGGCATAATTGTCTTGGAATATGGAAACTTCTTGATGAAACAATTTTGTACCATAGGGTGCACCTGGTCACCTAAAATGATTTGTATTCTATGGCAATAATTCTACCATGCAGAGTGAAAATTACCCCGAATGCTCACAAGAATTCTGCCCATACCATAACAGACCCACCCCCATGTTTGACAGATGGAAGCATGCAGTTTGGCTGGGGGGCTTCCATTGGCTTTCTTCAAATATAAACCCATCCCCATATAACAGTTAAAGACAACTCATGAGACTGTATAACATTCTTCCATTGCTTACATCGTAAAGCTTACATCGTACAATTGTTATCTGAGTCACAGAGGTGTAGAATTGGTCCTGTTGATATTTTTGTTGTTTGTGTTTCCATTATTTTGTCCACCAAGAGTAAATTATGTAGTTCAATGAAAAAGTGACTGCATCACTCAGAGCTCTGAACCTATTAAAGAAATGAACATTAAATCAAGTCAGCCTCCTTTTTTGGTGAAGATTGAAAAAATGTTCAGTGGTGTCACTAGATAATTCACTTGCTTCGAACATGGTGCAGTTAACCTAAAGAAAGAAAAATGCCTTCTATCATTGTTGGGAAGGAATTATAAGTACTAGAATGATGCTATGTGTGATTCATTTGATCTGTCTTAGTACTGCGTTAAGAGAAACGGGATCAGGTTAATAGAGCTGTATTGAGCCCTGTTCAAGGCCAGTGAAATTCGGTTTGACTAGGAGACAGACTGAACAGTCAAAAAATGGATTGGTATAAATACAGTGTTTTAAAGAAAGGATCTGCAATGTGTCACTTAATTTTGTAGTATAATGTGAAAGTCACAGTCAATAATGGATCTGAACTTGGAATTGTGATGAAGAAGAACTATGCATTAACTACCATATGCTTAATACAATCTGCATTGTTTGACAGACTAGCCTTGAATAGCTGCAGCCTGTACCCTGAACGTCCTTGTGTTTCTTATCCTGAATTTAGAAAACTGCAGCTGATGGGAAGCGACAGGAAATCATTGTCCTGGACTCCAAAAGAAGCAATGCAATTAACATAGGTCTGACAGTGCTGCCCCCACCAAGAACAATCAAGACTGCTATCCTCAACTTTGATGAATATGCTTTAAACAAAGAAGGAATTGAGGTAATATTTAACTGATTGTAATGGACATAAAGTTTTTCCTTCTAGATCATTTTTAATTCCTCAACAAAGTGATGCTATGCAAATAAATATAGAATCTTGATAAAAAAGTTTCTACTTAGTTACTGTAAGTATGAGAAAGCAGTCATTTGTGTAGTACCCAGCTCAATGAATGCACTGTATACTTACAAGAAAGTAAGAAATTTACATTAATGTTGGGAGAAATTTTGTTGGGATGCATTCAATAACAGTAGGCAATGCTTCTTTAAAATAAAACAACAATTTATTATATATTTGACTAAATTCCCAGCTCAAACTTTCTAAATGTCAAGAAATGCAGATAGAACATGTAACTGGTTTAATTGCCAGTGGATTCTGTCTTAATGAAGTGAGTTTAAATTAGGTTTAAAGAAAGTGGGCAACTACAGCTGTCCCCAAGTAAACTTTTTTTTTTGTTTTGCTACTAAATAAATACAGATTCAACTATAGTTTTATGTAGGCTATATTCTCTGTGCTATCCAGTTTGGAAAACACAGACCATTTATATTAACTCGTTGTCATAAATTGAGACTCATTAAATGCAATTTTCAGACCTGTGGTACAAATGTATACAACTGCATTAAAATCTTGCAACCGACTATCTTTTCAGATTGGCTACTGTTTTCACATTTATGTGGTTTCTTCAAAAGATCCACTCAGTTGAGGTTATTGTGTACAATTAATCACCTCAATGATTAAAGTTTGGGATTACAAGCACATTTTAATGTCATTTTAGAACTATAATGGAGTCTTTGGTCATTTGAATCGGTACATATTAAATTCAGGAGACAATCCCTTAATCACATAATCCATAATCCTTACTGGAAATACATAGTACATGCATGTGGCAAGTATACAAAACCAAAAAAATATATTATGTACTCTGGCACAGGAGATGTGAATCACAAACAAGCAAACGTTTTCATGCTGTATTTTAATGCTGCAGGGTAATAAAATGTATTCTGTTTAATTCCAAACTCCTGACCTTCTGGTTTCTGCCAAAAAACACCAAAATTGCAGGAATCTGTTTTTATTTAGACATGTAAATATTTTAATTTGAGACAACATTTTAACTTTATAGGGTTATGCTGTCTCATTTGTTTTATAAGTTCTTTTCTTGCTCTCTAAACACAGAACTTTGTGGTTGTTTCTTTCTATTATGTTTTTTTTTCTCATAATTTCTATTTCTAGCACCCTGTGACCTTCAGTTTTCTTGTTCCTAAATTACAATGTCCAATGGTTTCAAGTGACACCAATTTAAGCAAAGCAGATTCTTTTTTGGTTCAGTGGACAGGCCATTTTATTAACATATCTCATTCACAGTTGTGGTTCATCAGCATAGTGTTAAACAACACTTAACACCTCTTGCCTGGAGGTTTGTGGGTTCAAATCCAAGTGGAAATGTTGCTGCTGTACTCTTGAGAACAGTACTTATCACACATTTATTTAGCAAGCCCAGCTGTCAACATGGATATTAAACATCTATGTATTTTCAAAAAATTCAAATTCAGGGTCATGGAGGAGCCACAGTTTCTCCCTAAAAAGTCACAAGGGCAAGGCTGGGTACACCCCAGAGAGGACACCAGTCCATCGTGGCACACACACAGACACAAACATGTACATACTGACACCTAGGCCAATTTCACCAGTATTTCCTACCAGTATGTTTTTGGACTGCGGGTGGTACCTGAAGCACCCCAAGGAAACTCACAAGAACACAGGGAGAACATACCACTCAGATAGCACCCCAAGTCTGGAATTGAACACAGGGCTCCAAGCACTATAAGGCAGTGACGCTAACCACCATTCTTCCCAGGATATCAAGTCTTTATATAAAAATGGTTAATCTATGTAAAACATGTAATCTATGTAAGTCAAATAAATTATTGTGGTTCTTTCCCTGATACCTAGAAGGACAACAGCCCCCTATCTGAGCCCAGGAAAACAATTTTCAAATTACAGCACTTTAAATGAATTTGCATTCAAAAGTGACTTCTCAGATTAGATTTGATGTTGTTTTTCCCCACAATATATTGTAAAGACCAGAGTGTTAGACTCCCCCTAGATGAGATGCAAATCTATTTTAGGTACCCATTTATAAAGCTTGGATGACTGATTCAAAATATAAGTTGCTCAAAGATGCAATAGCTGTGTGTGCTTTGAGGTCTTATACAGTACATGACACTATCTGGATCCACGGTTTTAAACAAGTCTCAATTTGTTGTTTCCAGAAAATTCTTACAATGATCCCAACTGAAGAGGAGAAACAGAAGATCCAGGAAGCTCAGCTGGCCAACCCAGACATTCCTCTGGGCAGTGCTGAACAGTTCCTGCTCACCTTGTCTTCCATCAGCGAGCTTTCTGCCAGGCTTCAGCTGTGGGCCTTCAAAATGGACTATGAGCTGATGGAGAAGGTCAGGGACATACTAAGCGAATGATGCTTCAACCCTGCTTCAAGTAAAAACACTGTGGTGCACAGAGGATTGTGAATTAGTAGGCATCCAGAGCACCACTGTTCTTGAAACAATTTTCTAATGGGACACTTAAAAAATTCAAGTTTCATATACAATTTTTTTGTGTAGTATGCCTGCTTATTCACTTCTCCATGCAAGCCATGCAACTTTTAAATGATTTTTATCATTCTTGCTATTTTTATTTCTTACTAGAACCATACAGTAAGATGGGCTACTAGCAGTTATATAGCTTGTAAAGCAGAACTAAGTTTTTAAACTGATGGAATTCTATCTGTAATAATACTCTCCTGTAAAATTAAAGCT